AACTTGTATGTAAAATTCACGGCAAACGTGTAATTCGTGTTATACGCTTGTGCATGCAATAAAATATAAACAAATGGATCGTGTTCAGTTTATATGTTTTATATGTTTTATTGAAGACAAGAATGGAATTATTCTGATGAAATATGCGAATAATTGATTGATGCTAGAAAAGATTGATATTTAAAGGGGAGATTTCTTTTTATATTCGTTATATATTTTATTTCATGAATTTTTATCATCGATAAATAAATTGCAATATCGTCCACACAGAGAAATTGAAATCGATGTTTTTATTTGCATTCAATTCGTTGCGAAAAGATTCGTTTATGATATCGAATTCTCTTATAATAAAAAAGAAAAATAGACTTCAAATCGAAAATATTTTTGAGCATATTATCGATTACATTCGTTCATATAGAAGTCCTTTTCATTCTTTTCATTTCTTTCTGTTTTAAAATTATAACCTTGAATGTATATTAATCCTTTTTAACCCTTCACATCTATGGATGTGATATCTTTTGACGTGATGACGTTCATACGATGCTTTGAATGACATGTCTCACTCTATTTTCTTATCAAGATTCCCACAAAATATCTCGTCTAAAGATTCGGTATAGAAATCAGATCGCAAGGCATCTCATTTACGTATACTAAAAAGTTAAAAATGGTAAACATAGCATACGTTTTATAATTTTCATCTTATGAAATCGCAAACTTAATAAAAAATTAATTCGTATTTTTGAAATTTAATTTTCGATTGTCAATCAAAATCCTTCAATATCGATTTATAAATTTTTGATTTTTGACAACAATAATGACAAATATTTAAATCATTTATATATATAAAAAAAAACAAAAAAAGACGAATCTTCAACGTCGATGCTCTCGACGCATCTTCCTCCACATTACCCAGTTCACCGACACGTAACGCAACTTGAGTATCGTTAAACTCTTCATCTAAACCAACGATACCATGTAAAGCTACTTGTTTGCACATTTTGTTTATGGCGCTATTTTTAAACAGAGAGCCAACTATCGTTCACAGTTTTCAGCGGCGGCAATTTTCACGGACGAGCTGGCAAAGCGTTCATCTTCCCTCTGTGTCCGTGAAAATACGCGGAAAACCCAGCTTGGGTATTGCCAAGAGTTTGATCCGTTCCTGATCTCTTTTCGGTGTATCTATCTTCGATCGAATCTTGATATTCTTTTTCGTCCACGATCTCGAAAACGTGAAATCGAGGGATGATACACGTATATACTTGGAAGGTTGGTTCGATACGTGCAATAAACGTAACGATATTCTGGTGGAAAAAGTGCCAACACAACCGCCGCGTGACCCAGATAAAAGGATAGCGGCTAGGATACGACGACGGGC